CATTCACTCCCCCGCCTGCCGCCAGCCCACCACATAGGAACCTGCCCCATCCACCCCCCCCCCCTTCCCATCTGGGACCCTGCCCCATTCACTCCCCCCACCACCACACCCCCAGCCCACCACGTGGGAACCTGCCCCATTCACTGCACCCAGCCCCAGCCCGCCACGTGGAACCCTGCCCCATTCACACTCTCCTCACCTTGACTGCGATTGACGTTTTATCCGATTAACAGCACCGCTCTCTTTTCTCACCACCACCCCCCCACCCACCACCCATCACCCAAACGCAGCAAACGACACCACCTTAGCCATTAAATACCGTCAGAAGAAGGCGAAGGAGAGGGAAGGCCCAGCGGTGCTGGAGAAGGAGAGGCAGAAGGAGCAGGGCGAGGCCCGAATGGACAAGAAGAAGGTGGCGGCTAATGTAAGGATGGGGCAGGCGGTGCCTGGGTGATTTTGTGGGTGGGGGGGACAGGTGGGCAGCACAATGGGGGGGCTGGTTTTGGTGGGGGTGCCCTCAGGCAGGACAGATGGCATGTGGAGTTTCTGTTGTGCCATTAAAGTTTGGGGGGTCCTGGTGGGGGAGATCAAAATGGTCAAAAGGGCCTCCCCCCCCCCCGCCTTTAGGACACTGGTAACGTGGGAGGGAGGGGATGAATCGGAACGTTCAGGATGGTTCGCGCAGAGACTGGAACAGTTAGCTGCCCCCCTCACCCCACCCCAGTGAGGACACTGATGGTAATGGGCGGGCGGGGGGGAGGATTGTCGGTTCGGAATGCACACACGACAGCTTGCCTTTGTGAGCCGAGGCTCAGAGCACTCAAGGTGAAACCTGAACTCAGCAAAACCCCTGGGTAGTGCCCAGCTGGATAGAGTGCTGTGTGGGCGCCAGGCTGCAGCAAGGGTGGGGTTGCCCTGGGGAGGGTGCAGAGCAGATACGCGGGCACGCTTGGGGTCTGGCAAAGGTTAGACAAGGCCGGCCATATTTTCTGTGGCACAGAGAAGGTTCGATTTGCTCAACAGTCTGAGGAGTAGCAGACGGAGTTCAATTCAGATTGAGAGGGGAAAGAATTTAAAAAGAGACACAAGGGGCAATTTTTGTATCATTCAGAGTTCGCATGTAGAATGAACTTCCAGAGGAAGTGGTGGATGTGGGGACAGTTACAACCTCTAAAAGTCATTTGGATAAGGACATGGATCGGAAAGGTTTGGAGGGAGATGGGCCAGGAGTGGACTGGTTTAGTTTGGGATTATGGTCGGCAGGGACTGGCTGGGCCGAAGGGCCTGTCTCCGTGCTGGGTGGTTCTGTGACCTGATAGGGATGTATAACACTAGGAGGAACACGGGATGGATGGGAAGGCCCATTTTCCATTTAATATCCGGGGATATAGTGTCAGGGTTGAGAGGAGAGTCAAAGAGAATCCTTGGTCACTTGGGGCGGCCGCTGGGATTCGGGGTGGTTGAGTGTGAGACTCTCAGGACGTTGAAGCAGCGTTTAGATCGTCGCCTGCATTGCTGCAGCCTCCAGGCCTGCAGGGCCAAGAAAATGGGCACGGTGCGAACAGGAGGGGCCGAGCGGCTTCCAACCAGGCAGAGGCTTGGTGAGGGGTAGCCGTAATCCGATGGCTCCTGTTCACGGTCCGGAGTCCCGCTGCCATGTGTAAGGCCAAGGCACCCCTTCCCTCCGCCACCACCACCAAGAAACAACACCTTCTCAACAGAAATTTGAGGGGAAGCTGAAGCCGTTCCAAACATGGCGTCGGGAGGCCTTAATCAGGCTCCATTCATGTTGACTGGGTAATGTACAAAAGGAGAAACGGCCCCCCACACCTGTCATACAGCACACAAGCAGACCCTTCAGCCCAACCCATTTGTGCCGACCCAGAAATCCTAAATGAATCTGGTCCCGTTTGCCAGCATTTGGCCCGTATCCCTCTTAAACCCTTCCTTATCAATGACCCCATCCAGATGCCTTTTAAATGTTGTCATTGTACCAGCCCCCACCACATCCTCTGGCAGCTTGTTCCATACACGCACCACCCTCTGTGTGGAAAAAGTTGCCCCTCCAGTCCCTTTCCACTCTCACCTTAAACCTATGCCCCTCTAGTTTTGGACTCTTCCCCCCCCCCCCACTCTGGGGGAAAAGACCTTGTCTATTCCCCCTATCCATGTACCTCATGATTTTATAAACCTCTATAATGTCACCCCCTCAGCCTCCGACGCTCCAGGGAAAATAGCCCCAGCCTATTCAGTCTCTCCTTGTAGCTCAAACCCTCCAACCCTGGCAACATCCTTGTAAATCTTTTGTGAACCTTTTCAAGTTTCACAACATCCTTCCTACAGCAGGGAGACCAGAACTGAACGCAGTATTCTAAAAGTGGCCTCCCCAGTACAACCGCAACATGACCCTCCCAACTCCTACACTCAACGCACTGACCAATAAAGGGAAGAGTCCCAAACACCACCTTCACCACCCTGTCTACTTGCGTCTCCACTTTCAAGGAGCTATGAACCTGCTACCCAAGCTCTCTTTGTTCAGCAACACTCCCCAGGACCTTCCCATGAAGTGTATAAATCCTGCCCTGATGTGCCTTTCCCAAAATGCAGCACCTCCCATTTATCTAAATTAAATTCCACCTGCCACTCCTTGGCCCATCTGATCAAGGTCCTGTTGTACTCTGAGGTAACCTTCTTCACTATCCGCTACATCTTCAATTTTGGTGTTATCTGTAAACTTACTAACCATACCTGCTATGTTCACATCCACATCATTTATATAAATGACAAACAGCAGTGGACCCAGCACTGAACCTTGTGGCACGCCACTGGTCACCAGTCTGAACAATAACCTCCCACCACCCCCCTCTGTCTTCTACCTTCGAGCCAGTTTTGTATCCACATGGCTAGTTCTCCCTGTATTCCATGCGATTTAACCTTGCTAACCAGTCAACCAAGAGGAATCTTGTTGAACCCCTTACTGAAGTCCATATAGATCACATTCCCCGCTCTGCCCTCATCAATCCTCTTCGTTACTTCTTCAAAAAAGCTCAATTAAGTCAGTGAGACACTATTTCCCACATAAAGCCATGTTGACTATCCCTAATCAGTCCCTGCCTTTCCTAATACATGTAAATCCTGTCCCTCAGGACTCCCTCCAACAACTTGCCAACCACCGATGTCAGACTTACCGGGCTATAGTTCCCTGGATTTTCCTTCCCACCTTTCTTAAATAGTGGCATCATGTTAGCCAGCCTCCAGTCTTCCGGCACCTCACCTGTGGCTATCGATGATACAGATATCTCAGCGAGGGGGCCCAGCAATCCCTTCCCTAGTTCGAGGGTAAACCTGATCAGATCCTAGGGATTTATCCACCTTTATGCGTTTATCCAGCACCACCACCTGTGTCATATGGACATTTTTCGAGATGTTGCTGTTTATGTCCCCGCGTTCTGTACCTTCCATATTCTTCTCCACAGTAAACACTGATGTAGAATACTTGTTCAGTATCTCCCGCTCATAGGGGGCCTTGCTGATCTTTAAGTGGCTCTATTCTCTCCCTTGTTACGTTTTGGCATTAACGAATGTGGGGATTCTCCTTAGCGCTGTAAGCAGCCACCATCACCCATCCAGGTCCTCAGCGAAAAGGCTGCTCAGAGCTGCTTGTAGAACTGAGGTTGTATGACCAGAGTTGACTCCTGGGAAGACAGGGTGATTAGAGGAGGATATGGTTTGTAAGTTTGCAGATGACAGCAAAATTGGAGGTGTAGCGGACAGTGAAAAAAGTTACCTCAGAGTACAACGGGACCTGGATCAGATGGGCCGAAGAGGGGCAGATGGAGTTTAATTTAGATAAATGTGATGTGCTGCATTTTGGGAAAGGCACATCAGGGCAGGACTTAGACACCTTAATGGTAAGATCCTGAGGAGTGTTGCTGAACAAAGAGACCTTGAGGATGCAGGTACATAGTTCCTTGAAAGTGGAGTCAGAGGTTGACAGAGCAGTGAAGAAAGTGTTTGGGACTCTTGCCTTTATTGGTCGGTGCGTTGAGTGTGGGAGTTGGGAGGGTCATGTTGTGGCTGTATTGGTGAGGACACTTTTGGAATACTGCGTTCAGTTCTGGTCTCCCTGCTACAGGAAGGATGTTGTGAAACTTGAAAGGGTTCAGAAAAGATTTACCAGGATGTTGGAGGGTTTGAGCTACAAGGAGAGGCTGAATAGGCTGGGGGCTGTTTTCCCTGGAGTGTCAGAGGCTGAGGGGGTGGTTTACAAAATCATGAGGGGCATGGATAGTGTGAACAGCCAAGGTGTCCCCCACCCCCCACTCCCAGGGGTAGGGGAGTCCAAAACTAGAGGGGCATAGGTTTTAAGGTGAGAGGGGAAAGATTTGAAAGGGTGGTGCGTGAATGGAACGAGCTGCCAGAGGAAGTGGCAGAGGCTGGTATAATGACAACATTTAAGAGGCATACGGATGGGATACAGTGGGTATAAATCTCAAGATCTGAAAATGTGCAGTAGGAAGAGAGGAAGTGCGCCTGTGCTGCACGGCTTTAGGAGGTGTATATTGTCCTGGTGTTTTTTTTTGTTTTGAAGAGAGGTTGTAAGGCAGAGGTAGCGAGCTGGCTACCAAACCACGAGAGTAAGCAGTTCGTGAGGCCTTGGGAATGCTTTCGGAAGCTGAAACAGTAGAAGCAGCCTGACCGGGTGGGGTCAAACACCCACAGAACCAGGGATTTTAGGTTCAGCTTTCAGCAGTATTGAAAAGATGGAAGCTATTTTCCGCCCCTCTCTCAGTTACAGCCAGAAGCTGGGCGGCTGGAGCTGCATGTGAGATAAATCCGTTTTACCGAATTTATTTGCCAAGGGGGCGTATTTAGGGGATGTTGCTATATTACAACAGCTAATTAGTTATAGTTACTGTTGATTATTCTGTTAAGTTCCCCAATACAGTTAAGTTATTCTGACTCCCTGTTTCATTTTGTTGTATTTTGACTATAGCATATGAATATAGTGTGTTCTGCTCAACGTCGAGTAGCTTGACCTATCGAATTGTCTCTGGAATGCAACACCTTACATTAACCTTTGAAATAAGAAACGTTAGGGGCTAGGCTGTCTTCTTAATATATTTTGTGGTTGGGGGGGTGTTTGGTCTGGTCCATAACGGAGGAAAAAAAATTGAAGAGGAGAAAGGGACTGTTGAGATGGGTGGGCTAGTGGCAAATTCAGATAGAAGGAGATGGAGAATTGAATTCTAAAGGTGGGGGTGTGGAAACTGCTGGTAAGGCAGGGCATGTCAGTTTTTAAAAGGCACACAGGATCCAAAGCTTCGTAAGTAGAGGCATCAGGGCATAGTTTTGATATTGAGGCAGGTGGGTAGAAGGGTAAGGTAGGGGGCTGGGAGAGGGTGGAGGGAGAGGATGGAGCTTGAGGAGGGCAACTGGGGAGCTGAAAGGGGGGGGTTCAGTGGTTGGGGCAGGGAAGATGGAGGGGCAATTGAGGAAGGGGGAAGGAGATGGGGAGGCAAGGAGGGATGGAAGTGGGGAGGGGAGCAGATGAAGATGGCAAGAGACGGAGGGGAGGAGATGAGGGAGGGGAGAGGGAAGAGAATTTGGAAGGAGATTGGTGAAGACGGTGGGGGAGGGGAGCAATGGGAAGGGGGTGGAGAGGGGAGGGGATGGGAGGGGAAGGAGATAGAGAGGGAATGGGGAGGGGG